CTCGCTGAGAAATTGCAGCAGCTTTGGAAAGCAAGCCGTGGCTGTGGATCTCCAGGGCACAGCAGCCCGAGCTGCCCCCTCCTGCCGTGGCATGGAGAGTCGGGTCTCTGCCTGAGGCAGCTGGGCTGGTGCCTTTGCTAAAGGTTTCTGCATTTTCCCCTGGAGCCTTTGGCCATTATTGCTGCAAATAATTCTTAGTTGGCTGCAAGCCTGGGGTTTGTTAGGGAGAAGGTAATAAAAATGGCGTGGACTGGGTGCAGGCACGCTGGAGGGAGCGTGACAAGGGCACAGAGCATTGCCATGGCCATCCCACACCGGCCTGGGACCAGGGCAGTCACCTCCCCCCAGGGCAGGACCCCTCGATCTTCCGGCAGCTGGCCACTGCAGTGCCTCTGCTGCTGCTACACCCAGCGCGGGGTGCAGACTGCACCTCTCACCTGCTGTGCCATGGTGCAGGGGAGCAAGAAGTGCTTCGGCCTCACCCGAGGGCTGGGTGGGTGACACCAGCCTTGCTTTTCAGTTCCCAAACACAGCAGGTTTTGGGCGTGCGGGCTCCATTAAATGCTGAATAAAATTTACTAGAGATGTTTAAAGGAGCTGCGGGGAATTTTGCATCTTCAGATGAGGCGAGAGCATGAAAGGCAGTGCATCAGCACACTGTGGGACCGGGAGCAGACCTGGCCTGTAGGCTCAGCCTGGGCTCTGCACAGGGGTGGCAGAGCTGGGAGAGCCTGGAGGGCTGACGGGGTGTCAGGCACAGCCAGTGCCTTGTCCCCCAGTTCTGCTAGAGAAGGGAAATGGGGAACTGCCTTTAATCACCCTGCTGATGTGTCAGACACCACAACGTGCTTTCACCTCGGCGTGCTGTCCTCTGGGACGTTAGGTTAGGTAGCAGGCCTGAGCCTGGCCCCCACTGTGTGCCCATGGCACCAAGACCCCAGACCTGGCTGTGGCAGCAGGGACCACCATTGGGGCAGTGGTGGCACGTACCCTGCCCATGCCCAGGTCTGTTACGGCTCCCTGCAGGGCTGCCATCACCTTTTAAAAAAGAGCTGGAAGTGAGTTCCTCAACCATGCTTAGATGTTTTCCAGATTTTCCTCAGATCAGGAGTAAAGGCTCCCCGCTCCCCTCCCAGGTGGTGGGGGCATCCGGACCCCTCTGCTCTCCGCTGGATTCTCACCCAGGTTGAGAAGCTTTAAATGAACCCATAAAGCAGAAAGTGAAGAAGAGCAGTTAGGTCAGCCCCAGGGCTCACCAAGACTCCTGTCATGTCTCTGGCAGGGGCCATTTGCCAAGGATGTAATTAGAGGAGACATGGCATGGATGAACCTCTGTAACTCAGGTAGACCCCCCTGGGGTCTGTCCTGCACTTGTCCCCAGTAAACGTCAGTGGTGTTACCGTTGGGGCTGCGAGGTCCCTTGCCAGCTCTGCACCCAGGAGAGGGCTTGGCATTTGCCATCAGAGTGTTTTGGCTGATCAGGGGACTGTCACTAGCAGCTCCTGCTCACCAGCCATCCTCCAATGTCATGCGGAGACAAGGGACAGCTCATGCAGGGACCTCTCCTCTCCTCTCCTCTCCTCTCCTCTCCTCGAGCTCCAGAGATGGAGGCAGGCCAGCCGCTGCTGGATCTTGCGCAGCACCAGGTCTGTGTCTACCCCCAAACAGTTTCAGTTCCCCTTTATTCTCTGTTTTACTGTGGGAAAAAGTTTCTTCTTCTTAAATGCATCCAAGAACTTACAGTAAAAACCAGAGAGAACTAAATGATGAATAAGGGGCTGGCAACCTTCCTTTGATGCTAAAACTTCCCAGCCCAGCTCCCACCAGTTGAAGGAGTGGAAGGCGGCAGGTTTTGGTGTGGAGCGCTTGGCTGCACCGCAGACCTCTCACCCGTCTCGTATTGCTGCCACCAAAAGCTCCGGAGCATCCGACACGTTGGTACCCACAGCGTGGTCCCAGGGAGGGACCAGGAGCGGGAGGGCAGAGGGGGCCCTGGCCGGGTGCTGGGATGGCGTCGGCAGCATCTGCTGCTCCCCTCTGCCGGGCTGTGCTTTGCTGTCCTGATTTTCAGGCTATTTGGCTGGTTTTCCCTGGCTTCAAAGCACAGGCTTGTTTGTACCTTAGAAAGTCGGTCGGCTCTCTCCTGGCACGTGGGCATCTGCAGACCGCTAAGAAAAGTATCGAATCAATTCAAAGGTTCCAAAAGTGTTTTGGGGCTAAAATGTGCTGGCTGCTGACCCCCTGGAGCTGGGCCACTGCAACAGGAGCTGGCTGATTCTCACAACGAGGTCTAGGAGGGAAATTTTTCACTTTCCTTCTGGTTTTAGTCATTTGCATGTGTCCTTATGTAAAGTCCAGGCCAGAGAGATGATCCAGAGAAGCAACATGTGAAGAAATGACTGCAGAAATGCTTTTTCTGACTATGCCCTGGATCTAGGTTTGGGGTGTGAAAGGGTGCAAAACTTGTAGGTGCCATCTGCCAAAATGCGGGTAAGGGCTCCAGACAAAGCCAGTAAGCTGCATCTGTGAACAAAGGGTCTGGGTGTGGGGAAAAAACATTATTATTTGTGTGTGCAGCTGCAGTGCTCCCTTCTTCCTACCTCAGCTTTTACCTGTGATGTACCTTAGTCCAGGGCAGGAGATCATCAGTTCTGGAGAAGGTAGCCCCCTGCTTACCTGTAAAAAACAGGGACCAAAGTAGCACAAACTTCTCTTGATATCTTCAAAACAGGCTGTAAATGCCGTGTTGCACTGTGGACAGTCAGCTGCTGCAAATTGCAGGACCCCCAGCGACTTGGCTCCAAATACCCTCAAATGGTGGCAAGTGGCCCCTGTCACTCACTCGGAGTGGCTCAGTCTCAGCAGCAGCCTGAAGCCGTGCAGCCCTGAATCCCTCTGCGCATCCAGGCCCCACGCTGGGCTGCCATTTCTCCATTTGCCTGGGGGACAACGCTCTGGCTGCTAAATATTCCAGATGAATAGCTGGGGTCCATGCTAAGCGCGTTGAGAATTAAGTAGGCTTACTGATAGAGCTAAATATATTACGGGATTTATTTCTTGGGATTTTCAGCCTATTTCTGCAGGCAGCAAATGAGAGAGGATGTCTGGACTTTTGCAGCTTGTTATGCAGTGTGTTTGGAATATGCCTGGGCTCAGCTTTTTACTTCAGTTTTGCATTAATAAACTCTCTGTATTTTTGTTGGGCAGATGAGTTAGAAGTAGAGGATGGTGAGGTGTTTCAAAAACTCTTCTGGAGTTTGTTTTCCCCATGATAATGTACAAGACTAATGAAAACTTTGCTTGTGTTTCACAGAAGGACCCAAAAAACAGAACTAAAAAACCCCTTAAGATGTTGTTTGGAAGCCTGAGGAAGTTTCAGTTCTTCAGGTCTGACGGTAGAGGGGAGATGCAGATTAGGATGAAAGCATTTGTAAAGAGCCCTGTGTGCATTTGCTGGGCCTGTTTAAAAGTGTCTTCATGTGCAGAATGCCAGTCTTTCTGCTGCTGCCAGGACATGCACGGTAATCAGCTTTCTTGGGTACAATTGATCTGTTTTTTCGTACAGGCACATTTTAGGGGACCCACAGAAGTGCCCAGGAATAGTTTCACACAGATACATCTCCTTGTTTTGCTTAAGAGGCATTTATTTAGTTTGCAGATTTTACATTTACTCCCAGCAACTGCAACCCCGTGCAGCCATCAGGCTTTAATTTAAATGTGAAACGGCCAAAGACGTCTCTGAGTAATGACAGCTATTATGTGGGCGTTAATCGGCACACACAATATGTTAATTGTGTTTCTTTTCTTTAATCAGAGATTAGCAAACATCTGCAGTTGTCAAGCACAGTAAGGAGAATTGAAATGCAGGTCACAGTTTACCCTTGCAGAGGGTGGGCGCTGGACCCAAAGAGCATCGGGGATGGAGCCGGCCCGGGAGCTCGCCGGTGCAAGCTCAGTTGTTTCCCATCTCCGCTGCCCTTTTTCAAGGCAGCCTCATCCCACAGCCCGGCGCTGTCCCGAGAAACTCCCCTTTCCAAGGCATAGGCAAGGCTTTGGAAAACCTGTTTGGCACCTGCTGAATGTTTTTGTTTGTAAAACCAGCTCAGGTCTACAGACTTTCCCTGCTTAAAGGGACCAGGGGGTTTCCGGGGGGGCGGGGTGAGGGGGTGGTGCGAGCAGGGTTGGAGGGATTGGCAGGGTTAAACCCATTCGATTATGCATTTTTTTGTGAGGACTGTGCTAGGCGCTGGGGAAGGGCTGGGGCAGCGAAGGTCTTTTGTGCTGGGCGAGGGTGTCGGCGGGGCTTGCCAGGCGAGCCTGGGGTCTCCTCCAGGCTGGCGCCAGGCGGGTGTGCTCAGGCAGGAGCAGGGTTTGTAACCCTGAGCGCTGGAAGCCATGGCCACCAACTGCTGAGATTGTCGATGCTTCAGAGGTGATGGTAGGGACTGGGACCAGAAGACCATGTTCTCCTTCCCACTGTTATAAATAACTCTCACAAATCACGGTGAGACTTGTTTGAGTGTATGATCAATTTATTAATTAGCAAGAAGTGGCAATAAGCAAAACAGCGCTGGGTGGCTCGGGAGCCTCTGCTCCACCGATGGCACACACCGGTTGGCAAAGCACATCAGGTTATGTACAGAAAAATCATACATATTCATCAGATTTC